GGGGGGGGGGGGGGGGAGTAAAGTGAGATATCAAAGAGACGAGGGAAAAATATAAATTCGCTAGCATGACGCGAGATCTGGAAGTTTTTAAGTGGCTGCAAAAAAAGATACCCTGTCACCTTTTGCGGTACCGGCAGTGTCACAGATATATAATATGTATAGTATATATATTTTCTTAATTATATCGACTGTTAGTTAATTACGTCGAGTGAAAATAAAATATATTTAATCGTAACACGTGACTAATATTTCAGGAAGCTGGGATGGAGGCTGGGACTGCAGTCGATAACTGGAGCTCTGTCACTAGCCTTCTTCCTAGGTCTGATCTACAGGAGCGCATCCATTTATCACCCACAACGTCCCGTGATAGTACAACTGAAGAATCAAAGGACTAAAGTTAAAGAGAAGAAATCGGCGGCAAAAACGCCCAGGCAGCCGCTGGTGGATCTAAGTCCCCTAGGAAGTCGTCCCGTGAGGATGCTCATGCTTGCCGCAGGTGCAGCAGGCTTTGGACTTTATACGCCTGCTTTTTACATAGTGAGCCAAAATTGATATTAGGCCTGGTTATAATAATTATATATAATATGATCTAGCCGAGTTCCATGCTGAACATATGGCTGTGGGACCCAGTGAAAATCGATCATACACATAGATAATGTAACCTTTATTAAAAAGTAATATTGTACTCGGCACACCCCCCGGAGAGCACTGAATTGCATTTACCTTAATAAATATCACTGGCGACCGTCGTGTGAGCAGGAGTAATGGGTGGTAAATTAATTGAAAAGTATAGCGTTGAGATTACAATGCAGATTTCTATTCTCCAGGCCCTGCAAGGACATCAGGAAGGTCTCGAGACAAGCGCCCTGGTACTGTTGCAGACCTGCCTTGGCCTCGCTGCAGCCCTTGGATGCGCTGCGTGGGGCGTCGTCACTGCCAAACCTTCTGCACAGTGTTTGGTCTCCAGGCAATATTTGTGTCAGGCTGCTCTTATTGGCGTAGGTCAGTATCTGAAATTTATATATCCTTTTAAGTAATTTGTCTTAATTATTTTTTTCTATTTCAATTTTTACCAACATCTCCTACCATATATTTCTCGTACTTGCGGTACATGTTACCAAGGAGAGAGGGTGTCTCTTGAGTGTTACCTAAATATTTAACAGAGTCGTTCCGATTTCTTGGAATGTTTCGAGAAATCCCAAAAGTCTAATTTTCACTCGCTGCCAGATAATTAGAATTGCAAAAGAAAGTTTTTATACGTTATATATGCGTGACGGAATGAATTATGTGATTTTGACTTGATTTCGCGCGAAGGGGGCTGGGACAAGGTGGTGGTGACATTCTAAATGCATTCTCTGGCGAAGTAAACCCCATTAACGATTTAGCTGGGGGGTAGCTACGTTGCAGCATTCAAGCGTCCGTCTGAAAAGGGTAAAATGGTAAAACTACTTTACCCTACTTTACCTTCTCGTCGCATCCTCATCCCTTTTTATTTCTCATGCCTTAAGGTCTCCTTGGATCTCTGCTCCGCCACCTTTGTCAACAAAATTTAAGAAAGACGAAATTGTGAAAACGCCAACGACGAACTCGCCCAAGTAACAGTTGCAGAAATCGTTGAGTATTCGAAGAATGGAAGAAAAAGAAGTAAAGGGAGGGTAGAAAATAAATTCTAAGAGACTCACTCGGTATATCAATTTCTAAGAGATGCAATTTTTTATAGTACGCCATTGAATTTACAAGATGCTTCAAAAGTAATTCCATTTCAATTTACTCTTCACAATAGTGCTGGAATTTTTTTCATTTTAAGTATATATATACCTACAGTAGTACGGTATCGTACGAAGTATACCATCACCTACCCCCGTTAACAATGAGTAACAGTATCTCATCGTGTATTCTAAAATTCTCTGTATAACCAATATACATATAGGTATACTTTGCTACAAAGCGTCTACATGTATGAAAGATAGAAATATTTTATTTCCAGTTATACGAATTCTCTAGCACGATTTTAAAATGAATTGAGTATCGAGTATTTTTTTAACGTGCTTTCCTCTAGTTTCTCGCAATTAACCTGTTTCGTTCCCGTGTGCGAAATATTCATCCTATGTAATTAGTGTGTATGATTAACGCGTGCAATTAGTAAACGCGATCGAAGTGTGGAATGTGCACTTATAAGGGATACCTGTAAGATTTCCGGTTCTCATCTAATATTTATCATGATTAACGTAAAAAGGGTGAAAAAAAAATTAATTTCGATAATGCGTTCACCCGCGTTATTAACAGTACCGTGTTTACTGTACATTTGAAAAAATGAATAAATAAACGAGGCGCGAAGCGAGTAGAAATATTTCATTTTAAATTTGTCGTATTAACGTCATCACCGAATCACCTAAAGGGCAGCCATTTATTTAGGTAATATCTTTGGTTGAAGCCGTAGCTCAGGTGGCGCTTGGTAGCGTGGAAGGTTATCATGGATTGGTCCTGGCTTCCGGTCTCTATGGGGCTTCCCTTGGCGGGGCTCTATACTCTTTGAAGATGCTGGCCTTAGAGAGGCTAAGGGCCAGACACTTTGCTAGATCCTGGGCCCTCGTGCAAGCAGCTGAAGCCCTACCGATCCTACTTGGAGTTCCTCTTACAGGTAGTTAATATTTTTCTTATATTCACTATCTGAAGAATTATTGCAAAAGTCAACACATGACCAAAGTAGACATTGTTATAAAAATATCCATTCTCCTTTTCCGTGTGCACGAAATTCTCAAAAGTTGCTACCAAACGCTTAAAAATATTTTATCCGAAATGAACAGCATTACCATTTCAATATAACGAGATGGATTCGCGGAAGACGAAGTTAGGCATTTTCAATTTTACGTGAAATAAGAAAAATCCAAGAAAAAAATTTTAAACGGGACTACTTATAAGCCGTACCTCTGGCGTGAAGAATGTAACGAGGACTTTCGCGTTCTCGGGAGTAGTGAGAGACAATCCGACTTGATTCTTTCTCCGATTAAATATTTAAAAAAAAGAAGTAAAAAATATAATTGCCTAATTAGACCGTGTAATTCCCCACAATAATACTTTACACGCATTAAACGTAGATCGTCTTCTCCGATTACAGGTTACATGAATGCAAGTAGTCCACGAGTGGGTTACTATGCGTGCACTTTGAGTTCCTTGTGCGGAGCCGCGCTTCTGTTCCTGGTTGGCTGGGGAAGGCAGCCAGCCTCCCCAGCGATAGCATCGAAATCCTCGAACATGGGAACAATTCCATCGTCGTGCGCATGTCCACCACCTCCAAGGCCAAGACTGCCAAAGTCACAATCTCTTCACGTGCCACTGGACGTCGAGCATGATTCAAGAGATCATGACCTGGACAGAATACAGACTGCTGAGCATTATTATCAGCCACAGTATCATGCTCCTCTTAGACCTAGCAAAAGTGTGCCGGAAGGTCTTGGACATCAGGACTTCTACAGGAACAGGCCAAGGAGGCAGCGAGACGTTACGGTCATCGAACAAATCACTACGAGTGTCTGAAGAGGAGGGAGAATCGAGAAGCTAAGAAGAAAATTTGTAAACTTACGAAAGTTTGCAGGTCATTTAGAAAATCGTACATATTAATGTTGATCGGTTATTATTTAGCGTAACGTAAGTGGGAGATTTTGTCAATTGAATTGACAAGCGGATTTACGTGTCTTCTGTATTTTTGCCGGAAGAGTCATTCGACTCGTGTGTCTTCTTGGATTACTTTACAAGGTAGACGAATGAAACGTATAAGCGCACGAATTTATTTTCCTAGTGATAGTTAAAAATCGGAGCTGGTCTCCGATAGTGGATCCTAGACTCATTCGTTTGAAAGTCTAATCTAAGGAATAATCTTCTGGAGTTTTCTGATGGATGAGGTGTAAACAATAGAGAGGCTCAAGGATCCTCTCGAAGCGGTCCAGATCCACTGACAATGAGATTCTCTAAGTATACTATTCAAAAATATTAGATAGAAATTTCAGCTACTATAATCATAACGCGTAATAATCATCCATTTTATAACGAAGGCTCATGTGAAACCGAGGAAGCCATACTATTATGGAATTATGACTGTTCTTATTGTTATAGTGAATGGGACGTGAGTATATATTTGTGAGGAGAAAGGGTTTTGGCTAGAAAAAAAATTATAAAGAAAAGGGGACAAAAGGAGATGGGATCCCTTTATTCATTGCATAGGCGAAATTTAGTCTCCCAGGCTGAAATGCGTCAGCGTCAAGCATTTTCAAAGCGTTATCGTAATCCGTAGTTGTACCTGTACGATATCTCGGGCACTGCCCACGACCACAATCAGTAGAATTTAATGACTTCGCAATACGCTCATTGCAAATTCCGTACGCCAATGACAATGAGTAACGTTATAGTTATACTAGAGAACGAATTAACGTTAAGATTAAATAAAAAAAATATAACACTCATTTCACTGTTTGGGATTGAAAGGAAAGTGAGGAATGAAGGGTACTCGTGGAATAACGTTCATCGAATTTCATTGTTGGGAACGAGTTAGGCAAGGATTGATGCAACGATTGACAGTATCAAAAAGGGATCAAAGTACTCTATAAATGGATTTAAATTGTTTTACGCAGGTACCTACAGTTTAGTATAATTAATTAATATCTCGTCAATTTTCTGGTATCTGCGTATAACTCTATCGGGTAATAAAGAAATCTTTTGTGCTTCTTGAACTCTATTTCTGTCAAACCTAAGCGACACCATAAGTCTCGGAAAAGCAAAAAAAAGAAAAATACACGCGCATGGGCCTCTGCGAAAAATTGAACAGGACACAGATAACTCGTCGAGTTTGCCATTTTTTTTTATATACTTAGGCAAATATTCTTTATCACCTTTAAGCTGTATATAAATGTTCCTCAGATATTCAACCTTATCAGGAAGTATGTCATAGAAACCATTTTAGAGATATGCACTGTATATCAAATACCATTTGTATAAAGTCGCAATATTATGAGGTATATATATATATATATATATATATATATATATATATATATATTATATACGAGTATATATTATATATATACGAGTCTTTTCTTATCGTTTCATGATGCAGTGATAAGACAAACATTCGTCATACTAAAAATATTTATCTTCGACTAATACGTTTTTCTTCGAGAACATGAAAATATTCACTAAAGTCGTTTTAATGTGTTAGCACGCAATCGGTTAAAATATATCATGACGTATAGATATATTGATTTACCTGCGGAAGATTCTAAATGGAACATAATTTGAAATCCATCATATTAACAACGAGTTAAGTCGCTATCCCGAATTTTGAGATATTCTCGTATGAGCGGAAGAAGGCGATAAGAATATGACTCTCATGATACGTAGGACAATCGTAGTGACGCAAGAAGCATAAAATGGCGAGATTTCGCACAAAAGCATAACGTTGTGTCGTTTTTTTAAAGATTTTGTATTCACGTTCCGCGGTGTGTAGGGCATGGCAGGACCAATATAAGAAAACGTCTACCGAAGAAGACTTTTGTCCAAATTCGCGAAAGTAGGGTAATACACAGGTATTCATGTAGGAATAAATCCAGATAACTGAATTAACTTGACCAACGTATATGAGAACTATAATGAATCAAAATATACAGAAAAGGAAGTAATTGAATATTGAGATATAGTAATTAATTTAATAGCAAAGGATGCTTACACCATGATTAAATAAATATCCTTGAAAATACTTAAAATAATGTTTTGGTCACCATGTCCACGTGTCATCCGGTAGGCTTAAATAAAATTTGGCGACGGATTTGAATTAACAAATAATCATCATAGATAATTGACGTGACTAATAATCGTCAAATCGAAAAATCTTTATATCGCGGAATTACAAAAGGACATAATAGCGACGCGCAAGTATGATTCTTAAATTATGAAAAATACTTTGGCTGCACGGTGGAATAATGTTATAACAAGCGATTAAGTTGTTAGTACATTTATCATGTATATTCGCAATGTATTTAATCTGTAAATAAATTATTATTTTGAAGATGACCGACTACCTAAAAGCGGCTTACAATTAGTAAGTACCTTTTATTAAGTTAATGGCGGTAAATCGATCTCGTCCGCTTACAAAAAGTCGGGTCACTTAATTTCGTAATGCTTCTCTTTCTTAGAAGATGAATTTAGCCTTGGTTATACGGTGTCTGGTAGATACACAAAACATTAAGAGAACAGTTATTCCCCTTTCTATAAAACACCAAACAATTATCGATAATATTTTATTAAAAGAATTATATATGTTTTATCAGTTAATATTATATAAAAAGAAAGTAAGTTCATTTTAATCAGCGTCCATTTATAATCTATAATTATTAACTCTTATCTACACTGGGTAATTCCCTCCCCTACGTAACCTATCTATTTGCTAATATACATATATCAATCTTTGAATAATCGTAATAATTCTTGCATTACCACAGAGATAACTAATCTATTCAGTGCAATTAAGATATTTGATCACATTTTTGTAAGTTTTCACGTATATCTTCCGAAAGAACAATCACAAAATAAGCGTTCATTTCTCACATCGTCTGAATGCTCTGGCTGTGTTTTCTGTTTCATTTAATACTCGTAACGGACGCTCGGCGCCACAGTCGCTTTTCAGTTCCGAAATTCACAAGTAAGTTTCCAATCTACAGAAAATGTATTACCCGTGGCTGTTGCATTGAATGTTATCGACGGTTTCACGTATCGGCCGATTGTGTTCGTGATAGTGGCCGTGGATGTTTACCAGATCGCAAATTTGTGGCGCCACAGTGAAATTGCGTGGGACAAACAGGTGTCCTCCTGGAGACTTGACCAGCTAGAGAGCTGGACAGCTGTCCAATTGGCTAGCCGAATTCTGCGTTCAACAAGACGTGTATCGTGTTCCACTGCAATGTGCACCTGCGAACTCTTTGCCACTAGGTCATCAGTTTGAATCAATGGAAGCCACAAAATTCATAAAAGGAATTGGCCTGAGCAGGTCGATCGGTGCTCGACAATTGGGTAATCTTTTATGAAACGAATGAGTGTGTGAATCTCTACAGTCAGTTGAGTTTCATCGTGGCTCCGTACTGTGTGTGGCGCCTTACCTGACAACCTGAACGCTTCTTCTCGTGCTTTTAGCCTCAGTGAAATCGTGACCTGACATTTTGTACATTTCACGTGGCTTCATTTCCCTATTCTTCTCTCTAATATCTGTATTCCGCGTTGTGTCATAAAATCTGTGTCGATCTTCAATACCTAGTTCTGGTGAATCTGGATCTGTGGATTATAAATTTGTTAGCTAAGCCCACGCTTTGGGAAAGTGACCGGGTGTATTGCACGTCGATACGAGACTTCACCAACCGGATATTTTCCACGCTTATTTAGGACAACCGTGCCGAAGAATAAATCTCATCGTCTGTTACTAAGGTATTGTTATCCCCTAATTAACAACAAGCTCAAGAAATTAATTGTCGCTCGTAATGTGGTTATAGTTTTAGCAATTTTTTTTAAGTGCACATATTTTTTCCTCTTCTATAACATTGAGTGAATCATGGGAGTGAAAGGATCTCGGAATCGAGATTGTTATAATTATTCAGAATGTCGTTGGTAATTTGTATTCCATTATTACAAATTATCGGAAGATTGAATGGAAAAAGATACATTCATACCAAATTCGTTTGACTACTTAACGGAATACAGTCACTCGACGGTTCGTCAATGATTTGTTAAAAATTTATAAACCTGGTTTACATTTTTCTAAAATTTTATTTCTTCTCATCGGATTACGATTTTTTGGATCGTTTCATTATTGTATATTGATACGGTGCGCACGAATAACGATTAAACTGGCGCGTCGTGGCAGAAAGGGTGCAAGGTCGTGACTTTGTACCATGGAAAATGCCATAGAAAATTTAATGTAATTTTACCTTGAATAATACCGGACCTTTGATCATATTGTTTGCTCAATTTTTTTAACGGAAAGCAGCAAGTTTCCGGGATGAATACTGGTTCGTTTTATTCTTGTTTTAATAATTTTCGAGGATGATTAAAGTTAGAACATAAAAGTGTGGCTTTTCTTAATTCATAAAAACTATTCAGAATTTCGACCAATTTTCAAAAGATCCATCAACGAAAAAGAGTACCTCTTTACAGCATACTGTTCAAATTAATGTTTGAAGCCCGCTATTAAAAGATCATGGGAAATGCCATCGTGGCTGTCCCGTAATTTTCCCATGAGTAACGGTGTCGAACTCAGGTATGTACTCTGTGCTCAAATTCTTATTATACTTGAAAGATACGTTAGCTATGTTTAACATTTTCTGAAATTACTTGTACTTGTTTTAGCTTAATTAACGATGTGCAAAAACTTCGAAATACAATGTTTTTTAAATTTTGCAAACATGTTCGTGCGATAAATACAAATCTCGATATATCACGACACTTGACCTACTACCGTAATGCCTCACAATGTTCGCGCGCAGTACACGACGTATCTTTAACCTTTTTTCTTTTCTTTTAGCTACTCTTTAACATCCTTGAGAAACTTTCTGAACTTCTCTCCTTTCCCAAAAAGATTTCCTCATGGATTCTCTCAATAGTAGAAACTAATGGTGAACCCATGTTGAAGAATTTTTAGAGACCGTTACCAGAGCATTTGTATTTGTGGTTGATTCTTTGAAAATTGACGTTAATGACGTTTTATGGTAGAAATGGTGTATTTGTGTTCCCGTGTATGACTCAGAATACGTCATAATTATTGAACGATTTAACGCATTAATGTTCTCATAAAGAATGCTTCATAGCAGCTGTACGCCGGTCTTTGGAATGTTGCATTTCATGCAGATTAATATGTGCACTTTTGAAAAACTCCGTGTGCCGGAGATCCGTTTGTAGTCGAGTGAAATATAAAACCAGGATATTTGATTACGCAAAGGGTTATCAGGAATTTCAGTGTGAATTATTATTCCACTAGAAAGTCATATCAAAGATACGTATAGTTTGAAATGTCCACTCTATATTTTGCAAGGGGTCAGCAAATTACTCGTTAGCTTACGACCCAATGTAAAAAAATATGAATGTCCTCAACAACCTGAATTTCTACGTATTCTCTGGCGTCATCGCGTTCGATTGAACAAGCTCTGATATTACTGTCTCTTCAGTCAATTTTTATATTTTCTCTTTGTCGCCAAACTAGCGATTAACTCGTGTCCGTAGCATAGTAAGAAAGTCCTGGTATTTTGTACTTGCTACTCTCAAACTATGATGATTTTCGTACATAACATATCGATATGTAAATTTATATACATAACAAGTAAGTCCTATGTACACCGTGTACTATTCACGTGTAAATAAGCGTACACCAATAAGTTGTGCTTATAGGTAACATAAATTATCGTAACGAAATGCTCTTCGCGCATTACCAAACGAATCACTAATTCGCTATCCTCCCCGTCGATCTTTCTCATCGCAGAAATATCTTTCACCGAATGTTAATTACTATCGGCTTTCACTTTACTAAATTTCCCGAAGCGTGCCAAAGTGTCATTCAATCTGTTTCGCGAGTAAACAAGAGATATCATGATTCTGTTGCTGCGCCAGTGGTAGAGAGGTTCGCTGATGCATAAATTTAATTAACTGTTTCAGTTTCCTCCAATTCGACGTCATGCGAGAGAGCAGCGAATCGCGAAGATAGGAAGGAAGTTGGCACATTTTGATTGTGAAATTGATATAAAATAACCAACAAGGAGCCAGGAGAACACGTGACTATTACTAAGCTCAGGTGATGATACCAGGGTCGTGTTTCACGCCAAGTACTTTAAGAAGAACCATCGAGAATGTTTCGTTCGAAGATTCGCATTCACACTTGTCAAGTGATCCTATTAACATCCTTGGTATGGTTCCTCGTGGACGTCATGGTTCTGATGTTCTATTCGGACTGTATTGGAGGTACCGGATGGGGCTGTCCTGACAATAGACAGCAAGCAATCACGGATGAGAGTCAGCCAAAGGCTGCTGCTATTGTTGCTCTCGAGCACGAGGAGGAAACGTCGATTGTCACCAAGAGACATTACAAGCAGTCGGAACTTCATTTATGGAGACCAGCGAAACACGTGCGAGAGAATAAAGGAAACCCTGGAGAGTTGGGCTCCCCGGTTCACATTCCGCCGGAGAAGGAAGCCAAGCAGCAGGAACTCTTTAAGCTAAATCAATTCAATTTAATGGCTTCCGACATGATCTCTCTGAATAGATCGCTTAAGGACGTCAGATTGGAAGGCTGCAGGGACAAGAAATACAACAAGTACTTGCCTGATACGAGTATCGTAATTGTTTTTCACAATGAAGCATGGAGTACCTTACTTAGGACTGTTTGGTCGGTGATCAATAGATCCCCACGCGCTTTGCTCAAAGAAATCATCCTTGTTGATGATTCAAGTGAAAGAGGTGAGTCTCGTCGAGTGACCAAGCCAATTGGAATAAGAAAATAAAGAGGGGAAAAACTATCGACGTTCTTACTTCACTTGGCCATAAGTTGGCATTTTATATACAATGGACCGGAATTCCTATTTAAAAAATCATATCACTGCTATTCATCTGTACTCGTAGTCTCGAATCTGCCTTCCGATCGTCACAATTTCAACTTCCTGCTACGCTTCTAGAACGTATTGTTTCGTCAATTTACCGGTCATGGTACGATGAATCGTTAGATGCTCTGTAGCAGCTAAAACCTTTAGTTTTTATTTATCCAACGATATTCAGTTCATGCTAGCGTTATTCGAACAATGTAAAGCGCATAATTACGATATCTGCGCAGCTACGACAAGATTCCGTACGGTCAGCAAACACACGGAAATCAAACACCATTAAAGTCTAACGAGAAAAGTTTCCCATCGATTTCAAATAATCTTTTTTTATTTTGTCGTTCAATTTGGCCTTAGTATTTTTATCATCCTTTTATCCATCTTTCATTCTATCTTCTGCTTTCACATCGCTAAACACTTATTTACCAGGCTTATGTTATTCACTAGACTATCTAAGCCATTATGGGAATAACGATGAATATTATCTGCCAATGCCTATCCGTCGCTACTATACTCGAACTAATCATAAGCAGTACACGATAAGTTAAATGCTATTCGTGTTCTTTGCAGCTCGTTAAAACCCGCAGCCCCCATCCAATTGAAATGGTTAATTCTCATTTGCAATATCGCTTGTCACTTGTTTGATTTTACCACGTAATGGTTATAAATAATTTCTCACGCTTCTTTTGTAACACTTACATGCTTCTTTTTAGATCACTTGAAAAAAGATCTGGAAAATTATGTGAAGACGTTGCCAGTTCCAACCTACGTTTATCGCACAGTCAAAAGATCGGGACTTATAAGGGCCAGATTGTTGGGTGCTAAACACGTAAAGGGTCAGGTTATCACGTTTCTGGATGCTCACTGCGAATGCACGGAAGGATGGTTGGAGCCACTTTTATCCAGAATTGCTGATGACAGAACAACAGTTGTTTGTCCAATCATCGATGTGATCAGCGATGATACATTCGAATATATTACAGCAAGTGACATGACTTGGGGTGGTTTCAATTGGAAGCTTAACTTTAGGTGGTACGTATTCGATAATCTTTATATTAATATCTTCTTTTTCTTTTATTTCTAAGCTATTAGGAATCCGAACAGCCGACAGTTTACGTTCGTGATATTTGTGAATAGCGAATACCAATATCATATATATTAAATTGAATCTCTTCAGGTACCGGGTGGCTCCGAGAGAAATGGAGAGGCGGAATGGCGACAGAACGGCTCCGCTCAGGACCCCGACAATGGCTGGTGGTTTATTCTCCATCGATAAAGAGTACTTTTACGAATTGGGTGCCTACGACGAAGGAATGGATATCTGGGGTGGCGAGAATCTCGAAATGAGTTTCCGGGTGAGTAAGGGAACCTGATATTCTCGAGAGTAATATAAAAGACGATCTACAGATTATCCAGGGTAATTTATATACAATTCACGAACACGATTTGGCGAACAAATATCAATGTGCAACTATTCGGCTGCTTAGAAGCCTTTAACATAATAGAGTACACACGGTGTACCGTTAGATCTGCCAATTCTATCCATACCAACAGTCTTTGTCATAAGATTGAACGATGATAGAGAATTAATTATTCAAGATTCTCAGGTCATTGATTGAATAGAAAGAAACAAAACAAATGGGTGTGAAAAAATGATACCCATCGTAACAGGGTTCATCTGGACACTCTCTCTCGTTATACTCTCATTTTGTAAGATTTCAAGTTACTTGTAGGTATGGCAATGCGGAGGCATTTTAGAAATCAGTCCGTGCTCACACGTGGGGCATGTATTCCGTGACAAGAGTCCTTACACGTTCCCTGGCGGTGTCAGCAAGATCGTACTGCACAACGCAGCCAGGGTGGCCGAAGTCTGGATGGATGAGTGGCGAGACTTTTACTATGCAATGAATCCAGGTTAGAGGATCATACACTCTTCATCAGTTTATCTACGATTTATTTTTTTTCTATCCTTATGTTGTTGTTTTATTCGTTTGTCATTTATTTCTATTTATATTACTTGTGCCATTGTTGCTGCACTAATTACGCTAACAGGATTTCCCAGATGAATGCTAACGTGTCCTTTGAGGTACCTAACAACTTTCTGATCGATTGACATATGCTGGCTTTATTAATTTATTTAATGTTTCTGTTTGTTATGTTTGTTTATTTTAGTTAATAAGAATACTCAAGGTTGTATCTATTACGCTTTACGATAAGGGAACTGAAAAGATCTGTGAATTATCATGAGAACTATTGATTTTAAGATTTTTTTTACACCTAGCAATTCATTTTGGGTTATGAGGAATTGAATATACAGTGATATTGTAATTGAGACAAAAATTTTCCTTCATTTAGTTATCTTCACTGCATACTAGTACACAAATTCGAACACTTGATAGTAATACTACTGGGTAATCCAAAGACATCTGTTGATTTGTTACCTGAAGTATTGAGACACATAATTCGTATTAGTATCCTCGTTTTTAGATCACAAGATACTACTTGCATCCATTAGGGACGTGGTGCTACAAATACCTTATGCTTGTTCAATTATTCGTATAACAAATAAATTCTTGTTAACGAATGGTACCGTAATAAATCACCGTAAAGATATATCATGGAATAGAAATATTCTCATTTGAGACATAAATTTGTGTCATTTACTGTCTTAACCACTCATCCATCCAATTGACTAACTCTCTCGGGTAGACTATTTGAGTCTTAGAATGAGAGAAGGAGAGGAGAGGAGACGCCTAAGTGGCTTCAATGAAATTTTTCTGTTGCTTCAATTAGGAAAATTTCTTAGAATGTTATGTTATGCTAGAAAGAGAGGGACAGACACCTGGTATCGCACAGGCTATTCTTCGTATTCGCTAACCCACTAACAGATATGAGTTGGTTAGATATGGATGTGTGGTGGAACTCTGGAAATTGCTACATGCTCCCACGTAGGACATGTTTTCCGTAAGTCCACGCCGTACACATTCCCTGGCGGTACCAGCAAGATCGTCAACCACAACAATGCCAGGCTCGCCGAAGTCTGGCTGGACCAGTGGAAGTACTTCTATTACAACATTAATCCAGGTAGCAGCATTAACTAACAAAAGACGAAGCTGAGCATCTCTGTGTCGCGCTGGCTTTACCTGTCGAGAGCATGCTTCTATATACAATTATATATGCTAAATTATCAGCATGAAAATCCATGTTGGTTGATTGGTTGGCTGACTAATTGGTTTGTGGTTTTTTTTCTTTATATTGTTTATAATTTTTTTTATCAGATATTCATTGCGCTGTTCCTTCCCATTTTAACTTTTGTCATCAAATTTCTCTCCTCTCTGTTTCTCTACCGTATGTGGCACTCTAGGGATCATACGACCATTGTGATGGTAATACACGATAGCACCACTATTACTTTTTATGAGAAACAACTTTGTTTTGGCTGTCTCCTCTTTATTTTTATTTATCTTGAATCCATATAAAATCGTCGATTTTGTAGCTTCTTATGCATTCATTCGCTTCGCATATGTCTTAATGATAATACTGGATATTCAGTGTGCTGAAATTTATGTAAATTTAAGCGGGATTACGTTTAAAGGAGATCCAAAAAACAATGGTAAGAAATTCTTTTAATCTGAGATATGTTCTTAGAATTTAAAAGATTTTAGAAAAAGGAAATTCTTACTGGCCTGTCACAAAGCTCTCTGAAAATTATTTTTTTCTTCTACGCAATTTTTCAGGAGATAATGTGAGCTTACACCGATACTATTCAGCAATTGCATAATATTTCCTTTATATATATATTTTTTAGCACACTTCATTCACATCTTTATTTCCAACCAGTCACCATACACCAGCACCATGTATAATGTTCAGAAATATAATACTGCCATTTTTCATTATTAAAAGAGAACATGTTTTCAGGCGCCAAAAGTGTTCCTGTCGGCGACGTATCAGAACGTATCAAGCTTCGAAAGAAACTCAAATGTAAGAGCTTCCGTTGGTACCTCGAAAACATTTATCCTGAGTCTCCGATGCCCTTGGATTATTACTATCTTGGTGATGTGAAGAATGTAGAAACGGGAACGTGTCTTGATACGATGAGCAGAAGAACGGGAGAACCGGTTGGCATAAGTTACTGCCACGGTCTAGGCGGCAATCAAGTAATTATTAGTATTGAATTAGACAGTTAGTCATTTACCTCATACACAGTATGTTCATGTTTGTTTTGTTTCAGGTATTTGCTTACACAAAAAGGCAGCAAATTATGTCAGATGACATGTGCTTAGACGCCACAGATCGCCATGCGACAGTCAAAATTGTTAGATGTCATGGAATGGGTGGAAATCAAGTTTGGGTCTACGATGACGAAGTAAGTTTGCCTAAGACTCAATTATGACTACATTGTTTGTGTAATTAATTAGAAAAATGATCACTGATTAAAAAATGTGTATCTTTTGTCAGACAAAAATGATCAGGCATACCAACACAGGATACTGCTTAACAAAACCAAAACCATCGGACGCCACGCAGCCAGTTTTGGCGGTATGTAACAGTGAAAACCTTGGACAGAAGTGGATAATGCAGAGTAAATTCAAATGGCAAGCTAGCTAATACCGGGCAGCCAAGAAAGTTAAGAAAAATGCACGCAATACTTGTTGATCTATTTAATGAGTCTTAATACGAAGAATGGTGAATCGTGAAGTGTCTAATGATTCTCGACTCAAGGCGTATCATATGTAGGGTACAACTTGATCTTCGATAAACCCCACTATTAAAAGCTAATCTCCTGGGAATTGACTAGACACAGAATCGACTAAGACCTTGATTTCTGCTATCAAGAGACAAGGTTCCAGCCGATTACTTTGGATTATCTAGGGCTTATCTAATGTTGATAGCAGTATCGAGCATTTACTGCCATTTTTTACGGTATGCCTTAGTAAATTGCACCTGAAGTTGGGGAGCAGCAATGATGATGATGATAGCAATCATAATTATGGTCGAGATGATAACGTTAGTGATCGATCATGATGTGATATCATCGTTTGAGAGAGAACGAACGAGAGCGAGTTTGAAATTGTATGATAGTAGTAAGGATGCGAGGCTCAAAATGATTACTTTTGTTCCCCTTGGTGAATAATCATCTTGCAACTGCGCAGAGCCGCACGGAAGTGCATGCTAAGTGTTTTTGGAACAAAAGAGTAAACGAAAAGGTTTGGAGGATTAAGCATATCAGACCACTGTTATTAATAAATCATTGTTGACCTAGAGATTTAAATTCAGATGTATTTCATAGTCTTTTGGGACGAGTGCAATGGCGACGACCCGACTATTCGTACGTCGTATTATGATGACAGACTTTATTGCCTGATAGGTTCGCGAGTCGTAAATGATGTGTCCTTAACTCATTACAATACATTAGATAGAGCGAGGCGCCTACTATAACTATTCATTTAGTTACTCAAGTGAATTTCAACTCCATCTACAAATAGATTCTTTTCCATTACGTCCTATTTGCAGACACTCTAATTCTGTACGACGACATGCTAAGACGAATGAATAACACTACACTTTTCCTACTATTTCCATTCATGCCCCCCCCCTCCCTCAAAAAACAAAAAACATACAAAAAAACTATTAAAAAGAAACGTACTTTTCGTGATCATACAATGAAAGAAGAAAAAATATCGGGCAAACAGATATGTCTTATTGAGGCACGACCACTGAAATATGCGGTCCCATATTATGCATTAGTTGTTGCAAAAGTAATTAATTCGCGAATGCGAAACTCAAACTGGAAGTGCTTGAAATTAGAGAACATTACTATTTCATCTTTATGCTTATAATTTTTACTGTTATTTTGAACCTAATAGATTCAGCAGTTTGTCCGTAACTTTGCCTACAAAAATTCGTGTTTGGAAGTACAACACAGATTATTCTCCACATGTTTCATGCGGTTGTGCCTTAGAAATAAAAAAGCAGATTTCTTCTTTTCCATTTCATAGTATCGTTTGCGAAAATGACGATATAAAATGGATATGCCTATTATATTCGCCGTGAGATTTGTACAGATATATATATATACATGCATATGTATATCTTTAAATATATCTATAATACATCAATCGATCTGGTTGAATTTTACTGAATGATTTTGAGACTCAACTAGCGGGAATAATATGACGGTTAGTAAGAGGACCTATATAATTCTATAGGAATCCTTAATAAGGTAATTATGGTGTTGGTGCAACGGTTTATTATCCCCTTAACAGCTTGAATATATTTAATTAGTCGTTCTTAAGACTGCAGTATTTATTTTTGTACAGTTCCACAATTGAGTTGTATACTTTAGATAGAATGAAGATAACATGAGTAAGGAATATTATAATGCGATGAGAAACATTAGGTATGAATTGCGTTATAGAATTTGAGCCAAGTTATAGCCTTATAGGCATCTGTTCCTGGTGACAAAACAAAAAACAACTGGAACAATTTATTTCTTTATTGTGTATAGAAAAACAAACGAAACTATGTATTATATCTCACTCAGCCGATTCGTACTGCAGAAAGTTTCTAACAAGTAATAAATACGTATATCTCGCTATCGAGATATTCGATAGATATACGCGTATCATCATGACATCGTAGTGTCACAATTTTTAATTATGTTTTAGTTACACTTAGATACATCATATACATCAAAGAAAAAGAATAAAAAAGAGGGAGCTGATGATATGATGCAGATGAATATGATCAATTTCATAATCTGTAACAAAGCACACTACAACTTCCTTTACTTCTTTGTCAGTAGTATACATTTATAGAGAGCGTACTAAATTAACTGACAACTATTGTAGTAATAGCGAAATAAAATTAGAGAGGGTAAGAATAAGAGAAAGAGAGAGAGAGAGAACGGTAGAGAACTAAAGAAATTTTATAACGTTACCGAAATTTTAATTTTTAATGTGGATTCCATTACGTGTCGGTACATAACGATGGTCCAATGTAGTAATAAAAGTATATTCTATTTCCTAATTCGCCGAGAATAATTATGTACTATTTCGATGTTGAACAAACTCTCAATGGCAATGATATAATATTTCGCGGATGAAAGCTGCGATACAATTTAAGGACAATAATGACAAGCAGATACTTTTCATCATGTTTTTTTTTCCTTGTAACGTTTCAACAAACATATGTATACATGATGTGACCATTAATACTTATAAATTACCGTCTACCTTATATATATATATAGTTTATTTATTCATTAAGGCGAGTCCGTCAATCGGACTTCTCGTTTGATCGTCTAACGACAAATTATTGTGGGTCCCTTTAAAAGCATACGACTAGTAAATTGTATATTGTATAACAATTTTAAAGATGACCTACTGCATGCGGCTTTGAGGGAACAAGAAAAATGATATTAATCTCTGAAATGTTGTCGTTGGTCGTGAGGTGCTAGAAAGTAATATAAACGAATGGATCATCGTTAATGTACGATCAGAACAATTCTTAATAACCTCGATAATAGAGGATAGTTATTTACACATAGAATTTTCTCCAATTGAGGATCCAACGAGCTTCGGATACTTGCACTATGTATATATATTTATATATATATATATATTTTATAATGATTCTTCAAAAATCTTTATAATTTACAAGAAAATTTTGATCTGCGTTAAACTTAATTGAAAAACCATTTGATTGGATTGTAAATTGAGCCGTCGCTCGTACGCCATGTTTCGTACACTTATGAGTGGAAAAAATTATATTGCTTTGTAAATCTATTTAATAGTTCAATAGACCAGGCATTCCACTTTGACTGTAAATTATATTTTACTACCTGCATAGCCATGATGTATTTTAACATTTTATTAACCTAGTAAATTTAAGGATTAACGCTTGCCTTCCTACATTTTGTTGCAATGCGGTTTTAAACTGTGCGGCCGAAAACAAATGTTGAAATTAAAATTTGAACTGTTACTGTAATTTCAGCATCCCGAAGAATACAGATACTTTGCGATTGTGCTGCAAAACGTGCGATCCAACGACTATACACATAAATTCATTCGTTCGTTTGGGTTTCGATAGTATTGTTCTTATATCACAGCACTTAGATTGGTCTGTATTTTTGTCGAATTATCGATACGTTCCAATGAACCATACATGCAAGATCTTCCTCCATTCCAAACGTTCCGTACCGTATACATACATATATAATTATAAAAGAGTTGTTGTCCATTGCTTGTAGATCTATGAAATATCCATGAATACAGATCTTTGTTACAAACTTTCTTCCATGTTTTCTTGCCGCGTTTGTACCCCTACGAGCATCTAAAGAATAAATGGATTCAAAAGATTGTATGTTGAAAGTTTATGAAAAAAATATAATATTGATTTTGTCAATCATTTTTAGGTTATTAAAAAAATTATTTTTTCTTTAAATTAAATATACGATATAGAATTACAAATAATTGTAACACGGCTGATATAATATACTCGTAAGTCAAGAATGTACGACGTATGTATATATTTCTGCTCTAGATCTCTAATACTTTTCTGGTTTATAAAAAATGTAAGATAAATTCAAGGTCTGGCAAATAAAACGTCTTTTATGTAAAAACGGGCTTGTGATTTGATATCTATTTGGTTCAAGTCTGGTGTCGTCCTCTATAAAGTATTTCGCGTATTTGGCTAGAGATTATGAAACGTCGATCTGTCAAACTCGACACTTGTTTTCGAGAAATATAAATTACACTTGAATTCTGGATGTGAGTGCAGAAGCATTACAAATGATGTCTGGATCTTTTATGTAGGTATGTAAGTTCATAGTACAATACTATCAGAACGACGACAGTTACTGCGACTGAAAAGGAAGTATGATAATTGCCCCCATGACTGATTAGTCCTACTGTTGTACGATAATAAACTCTATTTAATATATGCTAACACTCATTTCTGACACATGTACGTCTTTCCCGAAAATAACTACTGCTATGTTAATCATTTCAGCCTGTCGAGACAGCGGTAACGATCGAATTAATCCTCTGGTGCCATATGTGCGTTAACCTAACATTTGTTTGTGTCTAGAAGGCCTGATATAACATCTAGATTCTTCATTTCGACGGTGATAAGGTAACTTAAGCATTTTCAGAAGATATTTTCGTTGTTTTTAATCTTACATTCGATAATTTTTACAATTTTGCGTTATCTATTACTTCATTGGAGTTCCTTTATATCATTGCGTAGCTGAATTTAGAGTACAATCTTCTATTTAGGATTGCCATGAGTGTATTTTTCACTTTTATCTAATGTTTCTTTATTATTGAGTTGAATATGCTTTCTTTATTAATGAATTTTGTATTGAGGTCACACTATAATATTCAAGGATTGGGGTTTATATTGAAACATTGTACTTTCAGCCAAGATGGGGAAATTGAATTTGGGTACAGTACTTTTGCTACTCTTTCAAGCTTGCTTGGCAGATTATGCGGATTATAATGACGAGTGGCAATTGAGGTGTCCAGGATTATATCAACGTGTGTTTACTAGTTATACACCTCAAGGAAATTTAACATTTGGTGTAATCATCAAATCGACTAGTTACACTAGTATGAAGAATTGCGTTGTTACTTGCTGTAAAGAGAATTCGTGCAATGTCGCCTTAATGCATAATGATACTTGCTACCATGTGCAGTGCAGATCAAATAAATTGTGTGTACCGTTGTATAGACCTGATTTAGCAAATGATAATCCTCCAAGTATGGTCTTAGTCAAACCACTACGAGAAAGCGACTTGTGGAGTGATTACTTGGAAGGAATAAATGATGACACTGAGTAAGTCATTTACATTACTCAAATACGTGTTTCTAATCAATTAAGAATTTCATCTAATCACCTCTAGTTCTTTAATCCTGGAAAATACTGCTACGTCTCATGTCTTATTTAACTCCAATGAAATGAGTTGCATGGATGGAGTACAAGATTGTCCAGAAAATGAAGTTTGCATAACACATGGAGACAAGGCTGGAGAAGGAGTTTGTCAGTGTAGTATTCGATTTAAAAGAAATAGTGCTGGTAAGATATTCATTATTTGAAAGCCTGCTTATAACTTAAATACTTGTTTTGAAAAGAATAGGTCTCCAAATCGTTATTAATAAAATATTAATTAATTTTAGGTGTGTGTATTGCAATGGATGATTTGGAGAATTCTGAAGCTAGTGATACTCCAGACATTCTGAAAGTCCAAGTACCAAAGAATAACAGTACATCTGTAAAACCACCAGTGAAACAGTTGTTAGTATCTGCTGTATCAAAACAAGTTCGTTTACCAGAAAATGAGGTGACACTTTCCGCATATACTGTACCTGGTGAACAAGAAAATGAACATTATAATTACGTTTGGAGTCTCTTAAGTCAACCCGAAGGTGAAACTGGAACGATGACAGATCAAAATAAGATGACTGTCAAACTAAGTCATTTGTCTGAAGGCACTTATAACTTCAAGGTAGCAGTAAGCAGTCCTACGGCTTACGGAGAAGCTTATGCGAACGTTACTGTTCTACCGCGTATGTTCTTTTTTTTTCAATAACTTGATTACAATTTGAATAACTGAAAACAATTTACAATTAATAGCTATACTAATTAACATTTTAGCCAAACGAATAAATCAGGCACCTATCGCAATCATTAGTCCAGCATCTCAAATCGTCAAACTACCAAATACTGGCGCTGTTCTTGACGGCTCATCCAGTAAGGATGATGATCAAGTTATCTCCTATCATTGGGAATTAGAGCAGGGACCCATTGGATATCAACCAAATTTGGTAGCAACTCCTACTCTTCAATTGGACAATCTAATCGCCGGAAATTATACGTTCAAGTTTGTATTTGTTATATTTGATGTGCTTTACATCAGAAAATGGATAATTAAAAGCTGTGTGTTTTATGTTTATTTAGATTGACTGTGGAAGATTCAGATCATGTGACTAATTATACAACGGCCAATATAACTGTACTGAAAGTAATAGATTATCCGCCAAGTGCGAATGCAGGGCAAAATATTATTATTTACTTGCCTCAAAACACACTAACTCTCAATGGAAATTTGAGTACAGATGATCGTGGAATTGATAGCTGGGAATGGACCAAGAGTCCTTCCGATCAAAATAAGGCCGTAGACATGCAAAACACAAGGACACCGTATTTACAGTTGTCTAATTTAGAAGCTGGAATGTACACATTTGTTCTTAAAGTAACTGATGACTCTAATCAATCATCCACATCTGAAGTTCACGTATTTGTTAAGCCACCTACGAATAAACCACCAGAAGGTAGAGGAAAAAATTGCCTTCCGATTTCCGGGTATTTACAATTATCGTAATTTAATTTTATAATGAATTTTTAATAGCTGATGCTGGAGACAATATTACCATTGCACTACCAGAAACAAAAGTTACTTTGGATGGCAGTAGAAGCAAAGACGACATAAAAATTGTGTCGTATCTTTGGGAACAAATCAGGTAAATTATATGTTAATTTTTTTCTAGTAACTGTTTTATTTTATTCTTATTCTTTTATCCGTATTCCAGTGGACCTAATAAGGCTGAATTGAATACCGCGAATGAGAGTATTACAAATGTAACAAAGCTTACTAAAGGGGATTACATATTCAAGCTGACAGTCATTGATGATAATGGGAATAAAAATTCAAGTAACGTTGAAGTAAAAGTAACACAAAGTGAGTATACAAATTTTTTTTTATTTAACTACAAAATTATGTTTAGTATTTCAATAATTTTAATACGAGGTAATTATCAAATAAATAATTTCGAAGTTTACGTTCTATGAATATCGAAGTATATACAAGATGACAAATATTAAAAAAAAAAGTAATAAGTACATCGCGGAATACATGTATGTTCTTTGAGTAAAAATATTGTTATAGTGGAAGATTTAGAGTAGGAACAGCGGAACCGTTGAGTCTCTTCCTTCCGGGACTAAAACAATTATCCGCAAAATGGCTTCTGCATACACGATGCGAATTATAAATCTTTTCCAGCGATAAACTTTGTAAAGCAGGATTCGAAATCTTTTGCAACCACAGTGTCATACGATCTTCATCATTTTTTGGAAATCTATGCCTCATAGATGTAGTATCTGAACAGCCGGGAACACTACATTTTTTCATGTTGCTGCTTCGCGAATCTAATATAGAGTTTAAAATGAATTCTCGTAATTTAGCATCCATTTTTGGGTCTTTTGAATCTTTCAAATAATCCTCGTCTCTTGTATTATTCATGTGAAAATTGATTTCTCTACTTTTTCTACTACAAGCCAATTCTGAGGCTTCCATTATATCTTCTACAAAACGTTCGTCCAAACTTTCTTGACTTTCTTTACGTAACTTAAGAAAGAATTTTTCAGGAATGTCAATGAAACTGTTTTCACTGTTTGATTCACTCTTTTTATGTGGTGATAGTTTGTTGAGAGTTGGTGAAAAAGTTTCAGTTTTACTACACAGTATAATATAAGTTGGTTCGTGTTCATATTGTGTTACAATATCGAAGTTGGATATTGATTTTTGTATACTTGACTTGCTACCACAATACGAATTGAAGTCATCTTTTGTGATAGCTGACAGTTCTTTAAGTTTTGTATCCTCTTCATTGGATTCTTGGGCAGAAGAACCTGAATTTGAATTTTCATGTTGCTCAAAGTAGTTACATACAATTGTATCACCATATTTCAATTGTTGGTGCTCTTGAGAAAGCAATGGTGCTTCGTTCTTTGAATGATTTAGTTTATTAGATATACTAATGGAGGTCTGTATGTGCTCATGCAGTTTTATTTTTTTCTCTTTTGGTCCCTCGTAGTTGTCAAAATCCTTTGTCTCAATTTCAGTAAATGTTTTTTCCAGCCTGTCAAAGCTCATTGGTTTGCTACAGGAATTATCCCCTACATATTCTATAAAATGAAATGCATTCTTATTATATAAAAGATTTAAGTAGTTAAAGAAATTTTTTGAAAAGTAATCGTTAGGAATAAAGTTATGTATCTTTGATGCATACCAGGAAGATATAATGTTGGTAAAGCACTAGTGTTAAGTTGAACCTTCCCAGGACTATAGCATTCATCAGAAAAGTGCTTTCCACAGATTCTATAAGATCTGTAAATGTCCTGAGATTCCATCTTTTCAAAACAAGGGTTGGCCACTCTCTTAATCCAAATTCTCATTCTCTCCAAATCATTTTTTGGAAATCTATGACGTGCTGATGTCGAATTAATACATCCTGGCACACTACACTTCTTTGTAGACATACTGTATTGCAAATACTCATATAAATACAAATTCTGCAGAATCTAACCTTAGCTGCTAGCGCGACGATTGTGTGTACTCTCCCCCCCCCCCCCCCCCCGTTGGG